ACCACATCTGCCTGAGGAACAGATAAGGCAAGTGAGAAGGATACAAGGAAGCATGTGAAGACAAACGCAACATAACACGTGTCGATTCATCTATTACTTCGTTAACAGCAAAAGTATCCCATATCATCAAGGTCGAACACACTCTTGATTTGATGGACTTGTTTTGACCTTCAAATTCTTGAGTCGGCCTTATACTCTGGAGGAAACCAGAAAACCCTTAAGCTCTATTCAAGAATAAGCCTGTGGAAAGTTACTTCTTCAAAAGCAAAAGTATCTCATATCATCTCTTCTCCATTTGCTCCTCCTTATCCTTGTTGCTGTTTACGACACAAGGAGAAGGAGAACAATTAACCGGAAGCCGAAGTCGAACCTCTGATCCAGGTTGCTTGCTTGGAAGTCTGATTGCTTACCTTGTCTGTTACCTCTTTCAGCAAATCTCCTGGCTCGGCGACTTGAGGGACTCCTATTATAGGGTTTTGTATTGCACTTGATCAAGCACGAAACTACAAGTAAGCTTCAAGTGAAATTGATACATTACCTTGTGCATCTTCATCGGTTAAAGATACCACCCCTGGATGGAGGAAAAGTGCTTCCAGAGAAGATGCCACATCTACGTATGAGATAGATAAGGCAAGTGAAAATGATACCACACTTCGGTACTTAGAAGTTTCGTGATTACTCAATGGCTTGGATCTTGCAAGTCCCCAACCGAGGAGCTTCCCTCACTCGAGAACTTAGGGGAGCACTGTTTGTACCATACTTGACCAATCCCGAAACTACTGAGCACCGGTCAACGTTATACCATCAAGGACCCAGAAGAGTTTCCCTCTAACCAGAAGGCCAATCATAGCGTGACACGTGTCGACATCAGAAGCCAATCATAGCGTGACACGTGTCAACATCAGAAGCCAATCACAACACGACACGTGTCAATGTCAAAATAAAACTAGAAACTCTCTTCTATAAATAGAGATCATTCTCGCACAATATTTCCTAATGTCATTTGTATTAAATCATTCACTAGTACTCACTAAATGAGAGCTTGAACCTATGTACTTGTGTAAACCCTTAACAATTAATGAGAACTCCTCTACTCCGTGGACGTAGCCAATCTGGATGAACCACGTACATCTTGTGTTTGCTTCTCTGTCCCTATCCATTTACTTACTTATCCACACTAGTGACCGGAGCAATCTAGCGAAGGTCACAAACTTAATACTTTCTGTTGTACCAAAGTCCTCGCTGATTTTGTGCATCAACATTATTGTCTAATTAGATGTTAAATGTTGACGCATAGACTTGACTCAATTTTTAAGCACTGATCAACTGTCAATTTCAATGTTCAGTACTTTACTCTTTTACTTTGTTAATCTTTTTACGAAGTTGATAGTTATGTATGCTTAAAATGTGAGTGCAATATCTGCCACATCAACACTTAACGTCTAATTCGACAGCAAAATTGACAGAGAGGTTAAATTGGTGCAATTCAAAAATCACATGGTGTAAAAGGAAAAAACTGAATCTCGTGACTTATTGCAAATGACCCTCAAACCTTATGTGTAAAATGCAGTTAACCCCTTTAATTACTGTACTGTTGTTATTTTCTTTTCTTTTTCGTTTTGACCTTCATATGTTTGTTATTAATTAAGGCATATAATGCAAGCATTTTGAGTAGGAGGTTATCTACGCCAGCGTTACCTCACTTTGCAAGATATACAAACTAGTATAATCAATTGACTTAACCAATATTTGCGTCTTTATATAGTTAACTGGTCTAGCTCTTTCCCCTTTAACATAAGAAAGCTAAGGTGAGTTCAAGACTTGTTTACTTTGTTGAATAAAGTAAAAGATTAATGTCTTATAAGCTAGGTAATTAAACAAAGGTTTTCATACTACCATCTATTCTTTTTTGTAATTAGTTTCTAGTGAGTGTAGTGGGATATATATTTATTGTTTGTACAACTCCATATTCGCAACGATGAGAACAAGATAATAACATAAATCAACATGATAATTGGTAGGAATGAATAATTTTCAAATCAGACAATTAGACATATTATGTTATTAAAAAAATAAATCAGTACGAGCAATTTAAACAAGTACTACCTAAACGACGTTTAGAGTAACAATCCTTTTTCATAGTTAATTAGGTATGGCACAACATGAGAAATTGCAACTTCCTCATCTGCTTATTTGGTCTATATAAATACCACTAGATTTATGGTTGCCTTGCCTAACATACGTAGCAAAAGTGTAAATAATTGGTAGGACAAATTTTCTTTTAAAAGACATTTAATCATATTACGAATTGTTTGTTTTATAAATAACTGAAAATGTTCTTTGTAAAATTGATTTTCTGTTACAAAAACACTATAGGCATTATTTTTGGAAGAAGCATCATATATGTGCTTCTTGCATGGAACACTTAAAATGCTTTCCTACGATCTACTTGGATTTTTACTAAGGTTGATTTTAAAAACATTTTCACCAAAAGTTTTTCTATCATTTTAAAAACACTTATAAATGAGCCATATGTTATCAAAATTATGATCATTATCAGCTACGTATGTACGTAGATAATTGAGAGTATAGTTAATTAATGATTCAGATTAACAATCTCACATTTGATTAGGTACCACAACATGGGAAATTGCACCTTCATGTGTCCTTGCTTAACATACAAAAAGTGTCACTTGAAAGATTGCAACAACAAGACATACATGCAAATACAAGTTATGGAGTATGGAGAAGATCTAGCATCAGATTTGGCTTGAGTTGTTCCTATCCAGCATTGGATTTAACTTGGTGAGAGCTGCTTTTTTTCACCACTCAAAAACTGACATTCTTATATCACACCTCCAAAGAACATATATCTCACCACCTTGTTTTTTCCCGCAACACCTAGCTATTTGCATGTCAGAAATTCAAATTATTATATGGGCAGGGATGTGATGATAAGGTTACCCAAAACAAGAAAACAAAAAACAAAATAAAACTGAAAAAAGCATACAAAACATATTCTCCGTCTGAAATTATATAAAGCTGAAGAAGGCAAATGCAGGTGGGTTTGTTTTCCCTTATTAAGCTTGTAGAGTCTCAAAAGGGTTCGTAATAATCCATCATGTTCGTGTCAATACCATGACTGATCAATTTTTCAGCATACTCGAACAATACCTTTTTTGAGAAGAAAATCTCGACGATATCAGAGGAATTTTATTGATATGAAAATCTCGACAATATGACGGTATTAGCAGGACATAAACTTTACCTTTCATAAAATAAAAGGAAAAAAAAAACATGAAAAAGACGAGAGGACATAAACCTTAGCCCCTAGAAATGAAAACAATAAAGATACAAAGAAAAGAGGGGGAACATGAAACCTAACCCTCTGAAGCCAAACAAAAAAGTCTAAACCTGCAAAACAAGTCGAACAACACCACAAGGTTAGGGAAAAAACAAGAAAATGAGACAAAAATGCATGGCTGAGCTGTACATTAATTTGAGAAGAGAAAGTCAAGTAAGCCAACATAGCTTGAAAACAATGCAGCACAAACCGCTTGCAGAGGGTAATCATGCCATATGTTGGAGAAGACAAGCCCCTGTTAGAGTAATTATACTTAAACAATATTGTACGTAATGTTATTATTTCATTCGAACTATGACACAGATCTTATTCATATATATTAGGAATGTGAAATATCAATTATTTATATTATAACACATAAAATGATAATACACCGTAACTATATTTCCGGTACACAAAAATTTCCCTTGATCACTCAAGGACATTATTTTTTGACACAAAATTTCACAGTTTTTGTTGGGGTTTACGACGTTGAATGATTAAATTGTGCAGGTGCAAAGAAATGGGTTTTGGGACCACGCCAAATTCCAGAGCTGGAATGGTACCTATCATTGATAATGACGGTCCATTTTCAAAATCAACGGCCATGATTGCTTCAAAATAGAAATTGGATTGCATAGAGTGGCAGTGGTGGAGTTCACTCAATCACTGTGCCTACACTTGTGTCAATGTTATCAGTTGCAGAAGATCATATCTTCAAGTTTCTGTTATTTTTTTTTTAGACTTAAGAATCTAGCGTACCTTACGTATACACCGAAATTCTTGACCGTTAAATTTTAACAGTTGAATTTTTAACCTAGTTTCTAAGAGCTATGATACACCGGAGTATACGAAACAGTCCAACAAAATAATATATTTGGAGCCTAGTAAGTGTCCATATATAATTCACAGAATGCCGATGAAGCAAGATGCTTAATTTTCAGGGTACCTTTTTTCATGCAGTATATTTTAATTTTTATCAACAATTTGATGATGTCTTGACGGTCCACATAAAATTATTAATTTGTCTTACGTATTATGACATATTCAATCTGCCATCAAGAGTTACCAAATATTTTCAAAAATAGCAAACGTGACTTAATAAATTATATCACATTATTCATCGCATCTCTTTTATAGGTAAAATTTACTCAGACAAATAGGTGAGTTAGAGATAGATTTTATTAACTTCGACGAGAAGTGTAACATAATAAGATAGATCTCAAATCTGCAAAAAGTGTGACTAATAAATGTCGTATCTAACGTTACTAAAATAGAAATTAACCCTTGTTTAGTAATCCTACTCTAATTAACATGCATTGGGAAATAGGAAACTGTAAACTCACACATACGCTTGCAATCTTCACACGAAAGAGAGATTTTTAATATGCTGAAAACACAATTAGGTACATCAATTGTCATAATATAACTTGTTTAAAACTTGAAAAAAATTAACCAATTATATTATAACATTTAGTGTACCAAGCCTTGTTATCATGAAAAATTTCCCCACAAGAATTTTGAGAGAGGGGTGAGAGAGAGAGAGAGAGAGTTTAAGCTTTTTCACTATCATTTCTACCACTACTAGTATACATATGTTTTGATTTTCCATTGAATAAAAAAACTACTAATTAACTGGCTAAGATGAAGCATCATCTTAGTCGTCCTCGTCAGCTTCTTCTTCCTTAATCTGATCTTCTTCACCTTCTAACAATGAAGATAAACAAGGAGTAGTGGCAGTACTTTCAGACTCTTCTTCTATGGAGGAAATACAAGGAGTAGTAGCAGAAGAAGAAGACGACGACAGCGACGAAGAAGAAGTAGTAATACTATTGTAAAAATTAGATAAGGGAGAAGAAGGAGAGTTAATAACACAAGAACAAGAATTCCTACTAGTGGTAGTAAATGATAGACCTACCAAGAGATCAACAAAAGCTCCAACAATATATCCATGATTGCTCTTACCATTCACCCTTAAGTACCAGCACAAAAGCTCCTCAAGATTCTCCCAGTCCTTCAAACCATGAGCTTCCACCATTTCCTCCATAGATTTTCTAAAATCTACAATCGGGTCTGCCGAGTCCATTGACAAAGCCACGCTCTCCTTGAATGGAATGACATTATTAACCCCATTACCACCATCATCATCTGGTGCTGCTGGCGCCGCCTCCACTAGCACAGAGCTTGTCTGACCAGCTGGCTCAAAGAAGAGCCTCTCTGACCTCAACCCTTTAATCACACTCTCTATTGCGTCCCCTCCTCCTGCTCCTCCACCGCCTCTAGAATCTTTAGAGGCGGTGGAGAAGCTGGGACACTTGTGAGATGACGAGTTCGTGAAGACCGAGTCTGGTGTGCTATCCACCAACGCCAAATCTGTTGTAGGGTTTGTAGTGTCGAAGTAGGCTGAGTTTATGGTCTTGAAAATATCATTGCCTGTTCTGAAAGAAATGGTTCTGGTTTGAGTACAAGAAGGCCAGGGCCATGAGGAGGAAGAAGAAGAGGAAGATCTTGATATTTCTGATGTGTTCTTGGAGAGAAAAGGGAGCTTCATTTTCTTGCCCATCTGAAAAGAAAAAAAATTCCTGGTTTTGTTGGAGGGATAGGGGAGAAGAAATGAGGTTTTTTCAAAACTTTGAAATATGAATTTTTGGAGCTGTGAAATGTGGCATTGATGGATGGTCAGAGGGGAGGGATGCAGGGGCAGGAAGATTATTTAAAGGAGTGAGACAAAAGGAAAAAAAAAAGATGTATATTATAAATAAAATGAAATTTTAACGGTTCATTTTAACGAAAAATCATATTTTTACATTAAAAGATCAATCTTGGTATTATTCATTTTACCATTTTTTTGTCATTTTCTTTAAAACTCAAAGTTTTCAAGTCATTTCCATTAGTTTTCCATAAATAAAATGGGGGTTGGGGGAAGTTGTGGAGTAAGGGAAGAGATCCCCTATGGACCTCTCCCACCAAATCATAGGGATTCGGAGATCCGGACTTTTGAAATCTGATCAAACGGCTACAAATATGGGGCCCCTCTAAATTATAATAATTATAGCGGTTAGATTAAATTTCAAGACAAATTTGAACCACATTATTATGGGTAATCCGATGTGAGGCTTAGCCCATTCCCCACTCTCTTGGTGTAGATAATATAATTTATTAAAAAAAAGGGAAGTGGAGAAGTTTTTTAGCATGTTGGGAGCATGACTCAATACACCATGTGTTGTAATATAAGTGGATGAAACCTTTTCTTTTCAAGTATTCAACTATTTGTATTATGACACTTGATGTACCAGACTGTGTTACACCGAAAAAACATCTCTAACTGGTGGGGTCATTTTACTCCTTTATGGTATATTTATCTATATAAAAGCAACTTTTAAATTTAATGTTTATTCCATGTTTGGTCATAATTTGTTGGGTTTCAGTTGAGCTCATTGAATAGTATGGTACAGGTTATGTAGAGAGCTTTTATTTCCTAACAGTCATTTATTAAGGGGTGTGCTATCCATACACCCCATTTTACTTCTCACACACCCTTTAATAATTTATGTCCATTGATCTTCTTCAATTCATCCGATCCGACAGTTGAAAATTAAAAAGGTGTGTGAGAAATAAAATAAAGTGTGTGAATATCACATCCCTTTATTAATTGACTTAAAAGAAAAGGAAACAGTCTTCTTTTAAGGACATTATTTAGCTGTTCACATGTTCGGAGTTATTACTCTCGGGTACCTATGCATATGTAACTCATGAAAATCATAAAACTAAAAGTTTATACATACGTGTTAAAATGCTACTTGTCTAGAAGGATTTGAAGTGTTTTTCCTTTTTCTTAGGTACGTTTGATGTAGCTCCTTTCGACAACCTGTCATGTTGCATATCCTTACACAAATTTGAATGTGTAACCACATCGTTTGCCAAAACACTTGAGCTACAAGCGATATTGGGTGAATTTCTAATCAAATACAGGGCACATGCGCACGCACCCGAGGCCCTGTGTAGTTATATTGGCCTCACTAGCATTACTCCATATGAAAGTATTTACAAAGTAACTCTCTATCACGTGCCTTCCCCCCAAACATTACAGAGACAAGATTGAGACCCTAGAGAGAGAGAGAGAGGGAGAGAGAGAGAGAGAGAGAGAGAGAGCCATTTATTACTTCATATCTTTCTCATGGATTGGTGAGATTCTTACTTCGTATCTATCTCATGGATTGGTGGGATTCTCATCCCTCTCCTCACAACAATAAGGAAAGATCAATCAATGAGAGAGGGGAACAACTGCCAATTGTCATGGCAGGAGTTGTATGAACCCTTCAGCAGTTGTTTTTATGCGTTTAATTTCTGTGTATATGGAATCAAATTATCTGCGTTTGAAAACTATAACACTGTTATTATAGTTGATTCTTATAACGTTGAGATCAATTTGATTCCTGTAACATTGTTTTCTCTGTAGGAACTTAATTCTGAATAACTTTGTTTTCGTGGTGGTGGATAACAACATATAGCTGTAAGAGGTGCATTAGGTAAAGAAACACTCATAAGCAGTGTTTGAAAATTTTCGATACAGTCGATATTTCTGTAGGAATATTGGAAAAATCAAAGAAAGATACAGAGGGGGTGTTGTAGTCTAAACTTCACCCCATATGGGAGAAATTCTTAAATTTCACCTAAAATTGATAGATTTCGTCCATATCTCCGATATATTGTTTAAATATCGGCTGTTATATTTCATTTAAACTAGTATTTAAAATTCCTTAAAATTTCATTTTAAATTTCCATCACTTGCATTGAAAACAACTGATATCAATATTTCGATATTTCTATCAATATCGAGACTTTAAACATTGTTCATTATACTCATAACTAAATTCACGACTAAACTACTCATAAATTTTGGCCCACACTACGAAGAGGCCTGGACCCTTGAATTTAATGGTGCATTTGGTTTGTTCTACGCCTCCAAAAGTAGGTCACATCCATCGGTTTAAAAGTTTAAACTCATTTTTTCTACGTTGTGCATAAGATTCAACTATTAAGTTAATCCTAAGGTTGACATCTATTGATCTTTTGTTGACACACCATGCCCATATCAACTACATAGGACTACAGATGCAATGCAAGCACAACAAATTCGATAGCTAGTTGTCATTGATCGAGAATGCTTAAAATTTAGTTAGAGGAGATCTCAAATTCGACTCAAATGAATAAAACGGAACGTTACTGCCTAGTGAAAAACTTGTTCATTCTCTTCGCTCAACGCATGAGTTCGAGCCACCACCAAAGCATTCGGTAATGTTAAACCTAGGTATTTGCACAATTATGCGCGTAATTGTTCTCTTGTTGGACCCAAATAGTACGTTAATTCAACGAACTTAAAAGAGTGGCCCATTTTGATTTTATGGTCCCTTCCTTCCTCGTATTGGTTCATGTATATTTGCTTGCGGTTTGATTATATGTCAAAGTAGGTGGAAGCAAAAGCCACCCAGACTAATGATTCTAAAGTGGTTGCAGATTTTATTAGAACTAACATATTTGCAAGGTTTGGCATGCCACGTGTAATCATAAGTGATGGAGGGTCTCACTTTTGCAACCGGACCATTGAGGCGTTATTGAGGAAGTACAATGTCAACCATAAGGTTTCTACACCTTACCATCCTCAAACTAGTGGCTAAGCCGAGGTGTCTAATCGAGAGATCAAGCAAATCCTAGAGAAGACCGTTGGGCCAACAAGGAAGGATTGGAGCTTACGGTTAGATGACGCACTGTGGGCATATCGTATGGCGTACAAAACACCCATTGGGATGTTTCCATTTAGGCTCATTTGCGGCAATCCATGCCATCTTCCCGTAAAATTGAAGCACAAAGTTCTTTGGGTCGTCAAGAAGTTCAACATGGACCTAGATGCAGCGGGACGTCATAAACAATTCCAATTAAATGAACTTTGATGAGATAAGGCATGAGGCGTATGAGAATGCTAGCATTTACAAGGAGAAGACGAAAGCTTTCCATGACAAAATGATTCGTGGCAAAACATTCTCCATAGGGCAGAAAGTGCTGCTATTGTTCAATTCCCGTTTACGTTTGTTTCCCGGTAAGTTACGTTCTAAGTGGATTGGACCGTTTGTTATTACTAATGTTTTTGTTCATGGTGCAATCCAAATCCAAAGCCTGAAAACGAGACACGAATTCAAGGTGAATGGGCACCGTTTGAAGCCCTATTATGAGAACTTTGAGGAGCATGTCATGGATGACATCTCCCTGCATGCCGTGGGCTCCAATGGGGAGTGAATGTGTTCTTCGTCCGGTTGCACGACGTTAAAGCAAGCGCTACTTGGGAGGCAACCTATGCATTCAACAAAGGAAAACCTAGGAATCATTCCAATTCTAGATTTGCATTCCTCAAACCCTTTTCTTTGTTGTTATTTCGTTTCTGCCATGTTGAGTTGTTTAGTTGATGTTTGTTTGTTTATGTGTTTTTGTGTGAGTTTATGCTTGAAACATTGAGGACAATGTTTGATTTAAGTGTGAGGGGTAAATAAGTGTTTTTGATGCAAATTCGTGGGGTTTTATCATCCATAACTTCCAAAGTTGTTCCTTGCTGTTTTTTTAAGTGGTTTTAAGCTGTTTTTAGAGTGTTTTAGTGTGTTTTTTGACATAAAAAATCCGAAAATCTCATAAAAAATTTGAAAAATTGTTTTGAAAACCCAAAAAGAGTTGTTTTTGAATTGTTTTTGTGTGTTTGTTTGTGTCTTAAGGTACCTTCTAACACAATGATGAGGATTCGGTTTTTAATTGCATGACTGTTAAAGAGAGTTATGAACATGGATGAAAGTTGATTTATTCTTTGGTTTATGCTTGGTTGTGGTTTTAACTTATGAATTCACATGCAATCATAAAGGAAAAATCAGTTTTTGTAACATGCTTGAAGGAAGGAACTCAAATTAACGCTACAAACTTGTGAGACTTGAGCCTAAACGTTTATTTGGAGAGTTAATAATCTGTGCATTGTTGTTTTCTAAAGTCGTTGCATGATCTCATTATTCTTTGCTTGGTTACTACTTAGAAGGCGTTTCATCATCTAATTCCAAATGCTATAACTCATGCCCATTTCATTCAAAGCATGCTATTGATTGCATAACACATATTCAAGATGAAGTTGTGTAGTGACCACCAAAGCCAAATTGCCGTGTGCCCTAATTCATTATATGTTTAAGTTTAACCCCGTTGAGCCTTGTGTAGCCTATGTTCTTTGTTAACCCACACTATCCTCACCTAGCCCAGATTAGGACCATCCATACCCTTGTTCTTAAAGCATAGTAAAGCTTGACTCAACTGAATTCCTTTTGATCAATGTATTGCAGAAAACAAGTGTGGGGGAAGTGATTCTTGTATGTGTGTGTGCCAAAGTCTTTAATAAGGCACAGGTAGAAAAGAAAAAGAAAAATTCGTGAAGAAAAGAATGAAAAAAAAAAGTATGAAAAGTATGAAAAAAGAGTTGAAAAAGATGTGAAAAAGAGCTCTAAAGTGTTGTTTGCTGAAGAAAGGGTCCAAAAAGTT